TTATAGGTAAAGCAGTTCTGGTCTTCATAATATGGCCATGGGATGAGAGAGCAGAAGTGCAATGGAAGTCAAGGTCAATGAAGATGAGATCGAAGAATAACTATGTCACAATATTAAATGGTTCATTCATGCAAATGCTGATGGCACCCAAGTTGATTTGTAGGGGAAAAGTAAACTGATCTAGGTGCCAAAATCTGTAGCAAAATAGAAGTAATTCGAGTTTGGTAGTTAGTGTCGTAGGCTTTGACATATGAGAGTTTCCACTTTTTGCCCAGTACTGAAAAAGCTTTATGAAGAAAGATGTCTAATTATAGCATAATTTATAGTAATTAGTTATAGCCTAGTTTCCATCAATAAGGGAAAGGTTAAGGCAACCACAGTACATACAATGGAATATTAAATAATCATTAAAATCGTGTTTATGAAAAGCTTATGATATAATTTTTGAGAGAACACAATAGAAAATTGTATAGAGGCATGTTTACAACCATTTGCAAAACTGCAGATTGTCATTACTTTTAAATCTGGAAGGACTGCTACACATGTTAACAGAAGTGGTATTTTGTTGTTGGGAATAGAAGCATTTATTTATTTAAAAAATGTTTTTCCACCATGACATGTGTATAACCATGCCCTTTTTTCATAGGTAATGAAAAGATTAGTAGTCTTTTGAACTGTCACTAAATCTCTTGGGAAAGAGCATGGTCCAGGATGAAAAATGCCCGAAGACTGACAAACTTGAAGAGGACGCCAGCTGCCCCTAGTAAGCACCATTGCTGGGTCTAATTGTTCTTATGCCCACCCCCATCTACTTGCATCAAGGCAGAAACCTTTCAAGCACAAGTTCCTGGTGCCTCAGAGAATAGTCCCTCTTTTCAAAATAACTGCAGCAAATGCTTATTGCCACTAGCATTTGTTTATATCCAACTGTTGAATGGGGCCTCAGCCTTTCTAAGTATATGCAGGAAAAAAAGAAAGCCACATTTTTGTTTCATTTATCCTTACATTGTTACCTCTTAGAATTGGGCACATAGGGATCCACTTAAAGATGGTTACTGAATCATAGTGAAGCTGGCAATGTTTTTTCCTAACAAACAACTAATAATAGATAATCATTATTACATTATAGAAAGATTGACTAGCTTCCATTTCTCTACAAGCCAATTGTGAAACAAGAACTAAGAACAAGTAGTTAATTCAGGGGGACTGAAAGAAATAGCAAGGAGAAAGTGGGAAAGTATAATAAGGAAAGTAAGGCTATAAGTAAAGGACATTATCAACAAAAGGATCACCCAGGCAGCCGAAGCTAACACCACTAGAATTCCACTCGCCTCAAATCCGTCCACTCTTGGGTGATGGAGCTGAAACATTTATGAGCATCTCCTTTTATATTTAACAGAGGACTGCTGGGGGTGGTTGTAGAGGGGGGAGAGTATTTCTGGCACTTTTCACTGGCTGAATGTATAGGCAAATTGAGCCCCACTGGCCAGAGAAAGTCCTCAAGGAAATAAAAATACTGGTCATTCAAGTTCTAGCCAGAATGCACTGGAATGGCAAGATAAACAGTGATGAGTGGGGAATTTGCTTCCTGCCCTATCCTGATCCTTCCATGTCTTGCTACAGATTCTTGGAGATAGTGGCCACAGGTGTGAACTGAGGCACAGACACCAATGCAACATAGGCAGATGACATGAGGGTCCAGGCTAGTTGATTCCCAAATTTACTTTGGCTCTGTCCACTAAGGCTTAATGCCAAATTTGCAGAGGGTCTACCCAACCTGAGAACTTTCTTGTGCTTGGCAATAATTTGCTCCAGTCACTTGATGTCCCATGGTTGGGCACTCAGTCTCCTCTACACCCCAGAAGCTTGCCAGCAGCTCCCTGAATCCAGCTAAGCACTGCACTGTAACTCTTCTAATGGAATCTGTCAGAGGCTCCATGTGGTGCCATTATACACCATGGATATTTCCAGCACCGTGGGTTCTGCCAATTTAGATGATCCAACTAGTAGGGTCCCTTATACACAATTTGAACCAGCTGCAAAGCCCTACTTAAAATTGGCAGTCTATCAAGTCATTTGGCAAACTGGGCAGATCAGTATTCCAGGTGCGATGTGTGCTATGTCTGCAAAATCGGAAGAGGCCTACAAAATGCTCTGAAAGAAGCAACAACTCATCCTTCACTTTCCCGTTAGAATCCTGCCTCTCATCTATCTCATTGTAAGCTCTTCTGTGTCTATGCCACGTGGCCTGCGAAAGGTCTTTCCTCTGACATTAAGCGCCTCAGCCCTTAATCCAAGGTGTCACCTTCCTGACTCATTATCCACTTTGTCCAAACACACCACACACACTTAGGTCTGTGCCTTGCAATCTGCCCCTGTCTGTACTGCTTGCTTACATAGCTCCCTAAATCTCGTATCAAAGTCTCTTTTTCTGTTTGACCTACCTAACTAGCCACGCCATGGGGTTTTCCTCTCCAGTGAGCCAAGTGTCTAGCATGTTCTTCTCAGGGAATAGAGCAGCTATAGCCAGTCTAGCTCATGGCCCACTGTGACCTTGCTAAACGGCTCCTGGCCAATATCCTGGGAATAGGATATCTCTGGCTTTTTTTTTATCTCTGGCTTTTGCCTAGAATGCTGTTGGACTTCAACATTTCTGAGCTGACAGAGTCTCCCAAGTCCTCTGCTCTGACGTACATGCTTGTGGCAGAAGTACAGGCATCACAGCTAGAAAGGAGTTGTGAGGATAGAAGCTTTGCTGTATCTACCACCCCTTAAACCCCAACACCAAAAAGGAAAAAATAAACACCAAAAGAGAATTATCTCAAGCTATAAATACTTAAATTCTTTTGAATTTACTGATTTTAGAGAAAGAGAGAGAAAGGAAGAGAGAGAATTCACACATGGTAGAAGCTTCCGTTTGTTGTTTCACTTATTGATGCATTCATTGGTTGATTCTTGTATGTACCACCCTGCTAGGGGTTGAATGCACAACCTTGGCATAACAGGATGACATGCTCACCAACTGAGGTATTGACCAGGGCTATATATACTTCTTTATCTTATGTATCTAACAGCTAAAAATCACTGACAATAAATTATCATTTTCTTCAAAAGGTCAATTTCAAAGAACAAGAAACTTTTCAATTTTGAGTCAATTGTTATCGATTGTGTGTGTCAACTTTTTTCCTATTTGCAAGTTTGCTTTCTTTGTGGGCTATTTTTTGCTTATTTTTCTTCCTCCTTTCTTTCTTCCCTCCCTCCTCCCTTCCTTCATTTTTCCTTCTTTTCTTCCTTCCTTGAAAATTATTTTCACTTGATGAAACAGAAACTTAATTTGTCAAGAAACAATAAAGCCTAAACCTCCAAAAAGGTGATTATCCCTATCTTTCCATTTTGCATTTAATAATGATCATTAGAGAGAAAAAACACAAAATCATTTCCTTTAGGTTACTGGTGGGGAGGTGCCCAATGAGATCCCTTTGAGTGGGATATGGTTCTACCTAAACTCTCAGAGGACGTTCAGTCATTTGGCTTTCTGTTTGGACCTGGTTAGAGCCACTCCTTCCTTGGTTAACCTCCCTGGAGTTTAACCTATGCCAGAGCATGCTTCAGGCTGGGAAAGCAGAGCTTGGGACTGAAGAGGGACTGAGGGTGTCTTGAGAGCCTTTGTCTATGGGCCCATTCCCTAAGGTTCCCAGCACAAACATCCCTCCCACAGGACATGTTTTCTAAAGGAATCAAGAGTGAAATTGGACAATTAATCCTCCAACTTGATGGATGTCTTTAACAGGAAAGTAGAAGTTCTGCTCCCTTACCCCCCAGGGTTCTCTCCTTGGCTAGTTATGTTCTTCCGTTCATGGCTCTGACACTGGTAGACAGCAGTGAGAGAGTCTGAGCCTTGTAGCTTTTCTTTTTGATGCCTAGACTGTCTAGGACCTTGGAAGCTGATATTAAGATCTCCTAAAGACAATCTGCAGACACACCCACCAAACATGGATCATCGATACAGGTAAGGTCAGTATTATGAATGGAATGGACAGTTTTTTCTCAGTAATATGTGAGTTTACATATGGGTATAGAAGAGGAAGAATTAGAAAGCTGATTTTGGCATGGAAGAGGGAAGAGAGTGAAAAAGACAGGGAGAGAGAAAAGAGGAGAAAGGGGAAGAGACACTGAGTAACAGGAGAATGAAGATACAGAGGCAGAGAGAGTGAGAAGAAGGAAGGAGAAAATGAGAGATAAAAAATAAAGTGAAGAGACAGACAGGAAGAAAGAAAGAGGTGAAAAGAAAGAAAAGTGACCCAAGACTTAAAGACACATACAGGGAGGCAGAGTCTTTCAGAAAGAATTTCCACTTGCTTTGGATTCTGACATAGAAAACCAGATCTGGACCACCTGTAATTTAAGCATTTCAAACCGATGAAGTGGTTACTCCATGAGTTTAAGGAAGACCTCACACTTTCAAACTCCCTCCCTCACTGCAGTTGGGAGAATGAATGAACAAACTAAGAGTTTCTTAGAGATCTTTACTGAGTAAAAATGTACATATATTAATGAGGGTTTTTTAAAAAAGAATATAGTATTATTCTTAGCATCTTTTCATTAAAAAAATGCCTCTCATCTGAAATTTAACAATGGGTACAGAAGTCTAGTTTTCTAAAGGTCTCTATGCCATGGTTGATGGCTCAGTGTACTCCCCACAGGGCACCCTTGGTGCAATAACATGGCTGAGGCATCATATTCGGCAGTCTGGTCCTCAGTGCCACAGATGCACACATTCTATTTGGTCAGTGAACACAGAAAAGGTACCTCACACTAACATACCTCATTGACAGTTTTTCTAATTCCCTTATTGACAACATATAAGGAATATATGAGAAACAAGTTTCCCAGTTTTAGTAATCAAACATACATATTCTTTATATGACAGCTAAGAATAATTACTACAGAATTCTTAATAGTCTCAACCATTCTTCGTCCCCAGCACACAGAGGAGGGCCATGAAGAAGGACAACCAGAGCAGCGTGTCAGAGTTTCTACTCCTGGGGCTGCCCATCCGGCCAGAGCACCAGGGTGTGTTCTTCGCCCTGTTCCTGGGCATGTACCTGACCACAGTGCTGGGCAACCTGCTCATCATCCTGCTCATCAGGCTGGACTCCCTGCCTGCACACGCCCATGTACTTCTTCCTCAGCCACTTGGCCCTCACTGACATCTCTTTCTCATCTGTCACTGTCCCTAAGATGCTCATGGATATTCACACTAACTACAAATCTATCCCCTATGCAGGGTGTATTTCACAGATGTATTTTTTCATATTTTTTACTTACCTGGACAGCTTCCTTATTACATCAATGGCATATGACCGATATGTTGCCATCTGTCACCCTCTGCACTACTCCATCATCATGAAGGAAGAGCTGTGTGCCTTGCTAGTGGCTGTGTCCTGGATCCTGTCCTGTGCCAATGCTCTGTCCCACACCCTTCTCCTGGCCCAGCTGTCCTTCTGTGCTGCTAATACTGTTCCCCCATTTCTTCTGTGACCTTGGTGCCCTGCTCAAGCTCTCTTGCTCAGACACCTTTCTCAATGAGTTGGTCATGTTCACAGAAGGGGTGGTGGTCATTACCTTGCCATTTATATGTATCCTGGTATCTTATGGCTACATTGGGGCCACCATCCTGAGGGTTCCTTCAGCCAAGGGGGTCTATAAAGCACTGTCCACATGTGGGTCCCACCTGTCTGTGGTGTCTTTGTATTATGGAGCAATGTTCGGACAGTACCTTTTCCCAACATTAAGCAATTTCATTGACAAGGACATCATTATGGCCCTCATGTACACAGTGGTCACACCCATGCTGAACCCCTTTATCTATAGCCTTAGAAATAGGGACATGAAACAGGCTTTTGGGAAACTTTTCAGTAAATTAACATTTTTCTGTCAGCAATAACTTTGATGTTTATTTCAAACATAACCTCATCTTTGTTGATCTCACAGACTTGATTTTCCATTTGAATATGTCTGAAAATTTTAAGGTGTCTTGAGACATAAGCCCTGAGACAACTGAAGGTATGTTGGACATACTCGGGAAATATCTGTGGACCAGAACTCCATTCTCTTGTTAACGGTGTTCTCCTTTATGAATAACTTTTGATTAGCAAATGCTAAATTAGTTTTCTTATTTCTGCATTTGTGGGCATAAATGATACAATAATAAACAGTTTGTCCCTTATTTGAGAAGATTTTTCAAAACTCTTATATTTTGGGACTATAATCTTAGGTTTTAACACACCCAGAATATTAAAAATTAGCCATATTATTTCACTACACAATTTATACAGACTAAATGGGTCTTTCTTTTCATTGTTTTGGGTCTATGCAAATCAAAGAATCCAAACTAATTGCCACTTAAATAAGAGGAAATGTATTACTCTCTGCCCATGGTATAAAATGTTACAACTATGAAGATGAAGATCCCTGTAGGAAACCAAGACCAGTCAGGTCTCCTCTTGGCCAGCACTGTGTGGCTGACATTGCTCAGGCCCCCACACCATCATTAGTGAAAGCACGTTTCATGCTGTCATCCTTTGCAAGTACAAAGGATGGAGCAATAGTATGTTTATAGTTGTTAGTGTGGAAAACAATACAATAATGATACAATTAATAAATAGCAGCACAAGAATAAATTCTGTGTTTTGTGTACTCACAACTTTAAACCTACTTTTGCCCCATGGTGTACAACCACATTATAGTGCACAGTCTGGGAACATGTCACTACTTTCCGACAAATGCCACACCAGTTCTGGCCCTGACTGTACCTTTCATGGGCATTCTACCTTGCCAAATGAAGAATGAAAGCAAAGCTTCTTAGGCTGTCATGTGCACAACAATTCCTGGAGAGCTTGTTAAAACAGAGGTTCCCTGAACCTACCGCCACAAATCCTGATCCTTCAGTAGTTCTGGGGTGGGGCCCCCAAATATGCACATATGATGCCCCCACATGATGCCCCCACTGAATACTCTCCAGTTCCATCCATGCTGTGGCTCTGTGAACTGCAACTTGAAGGGCCCTGGTGGAAAGAGTTAAATTGTGGAGGTTCTAAGATGCACATTCATAACATCTTACATGAAATCTAGGAGTGGGTGGAGGGAATCAAGGGAATGCTTAATTACTATAGTAGTAAATCTGTGGTTCATGTTGATATTTTCAGATTGATTCTGGTTGCAGTAAATTTCTTTTGCTGGTCTCTAATATCAGAAGTTCTCCTGGTTGGTGTGGCTCAGTAGACTGAGCACAGGACTGCGAACCAAAGGGTTGCCGGTTCGATTCCCAGTGAGGGCACATGCCTGGGTTGCCCACCAGGTCACCAAGTAGGGGTGCCATGAGAGGCAATCACACATTGATGTTTCTCTCCCTTTCTTTCTCCCTCCTTTCCCCTATCTCTAAAAATAAATAAAAGTATTTTTTTAAAAAGTTCTTTCCTGAACTACCAGGTTTTCTTTTGTCTTTCATATGTAATATAGATATATGAAATACTATATATCATGCTTTGTATCATCACACCAGACTATATGTTCAATGCAAAAGAGGCCGAAGTTTTGAAAAAAAATCACATCTTATATCCATTGGTGGCTTTTCTGTTTTCATGAAGCTTTGTGGGATTTCAGTATGACTTGTAATGTGCCTAATGTCACTCAAAAACATACTTTAATATTTTAACTAACAATTATTTCACACATGATGCACAATAAAATGTACATTTGCTTTAGAGCATTACTTGATTTCAGAGTACCTGTATACCCACAAAGGGACACTGGAGTTCTTGACAAGGCACTGAGCAATTCTGCTAGATGATGTCATTCGTGTCTAGAAGTCCTCACTTGACTTGCCATGCTTCTTGACACAGCCCACAAAACAGCATCTGTTTTGAATCCCATATTGCTGTTATGGGGCTCAGATTTGTACCCTAGTCTTTTCATCTCCTTTTTGTGTCTGCCCTATGAAAAATGCAATATGGTTACCCAACTTTACACGTAAATGTAAGACTTACTAGGACATAATAAGCAAGTAGAGTGACATTTAAGGCTGTGGTGATGCCCAAACTCTAGTCTGAGGTGTGAACTTGGAAATCAAAACATTTGAAAGAGTCTGATATTTGATATGTGTCAAATATTAAATAGCAACTTTGCCTTATTCATTTCATTCCACAGACTTAAACTTAGGCTACAAGTAAATGAAAACAATCTGCTTTGTGGCCTGTCTTTCCACAGGGTTCCACTTGGACTTGTGTTCTCCACGTATTTCCATGGGCATTTTCAAAGTTAGGTTCTTTTCTCTGCAAAGGAACAAGACACAGGCACAGAAAAACTGAGACAATGGAGTCCATTAAAAAGGATGTCTTTGGAGATACTGAAGTAGCCTTGATCAGACAACGAGCAAAGTAGAAGACTTCCAGGTTTAGTGTAATCTTTCATAGACTTTCACAGTAAAGCTTTGTTAATTCAATAAAAAATGACTAAAATTAACATTTTTAAATTTAAATTATTTTATTGTTGTTCAAGTACAGTTGTCCGTATTTTCTCCCCACCCTTCCCCCCATTCCCTCCAAACCTCCCTCCCTCCTTTGTTTCCACCCTCCCCCTTGGTTTTCTCCATGTGTCGTTTATAGTAGTTCCTGAAAACCCTTGTCCCCACTGTCCCCTCCCCACTCCCCTCTGGCTACTGTTAAATTGTTCTTAATTTCAATGACTCTGGTTATATTTTTTTTTATTTTCCTTTTGCTGATTATGTTCCAGTTAAAGGAGAGATCATATGGTATTTGTCCCTCACTGCCTGGCTTATTTCACTTAGCATAATACTCTCCAGTTCCATCCATGCTGTTGCAAAGGGTATAGGCTCTTTCTTTCTCTCTGCTGCACAGAATTCAATTGTGTAAATGTACCATGGTTTTTTGATCCATTCCTTTGCTGATGGGCACTTAGGTTGCTTCCAGCACTTGGCTATAGTAAATTGTGCTGCTATGAACACTGGGGTGCATAGGTTCTTATGAATTGGTGTTTCAGGGTTCGTAGGTACATAATCCCAGCAGTGGAATTGCTGGATCAAAAGGCAGTTCTATTTTTATTTTCTGAGGAAATTCCATACTGTTTTCCACAGTGGCTGCACCAGTCTGCATTCCCAAAAACTTAACATTTTTAAGTATATTGATTTATTGATACTGTATGTATTCTATGTCTATATTTGCATACAAAAATGCAAATATTATAAATTATTGTAGAAAAAGAAAGCTTTAACATACAGTTCAAATAAATCCCATTTATGTAAATAAAAATTTATGAATAGAAACCGTTTTAGGACAAAAATAATAATGGAAGGTTGAGTACTTTATGCTTTGTTTTCATTTTTACGTTGTTTGCAGTTCCATCATGAACCAGAATTCATTTCATAAGCAGCAAACCAAAAAGGAGTATCCACTGGGGAGAAAACCCCCTCTTCACACCCCCCAAGTTATGAGCTAATCAGGAGGAACACAAATCTGGCAGGGAAGGGCAGGAAGGAGGTCTTTCCACATCTTCTTTTGGGGTCACACTTGCAGGGCATCCACCCTGATGTTCTTTCTAAGGACAGTGTTTCCTCAAAGTCTACCCATCTGCCTCAGAATTACCTGGAGCCCTGATCTCATGAATGAGCATTTCTGGAGGTACAGCATCTTTAATAAGCTCGCAGGTGATTATGCTGAACATCAAAGTTTAGGGACCACTGCCCTAGGGCATCTGTCCTGGAGGGAGTAGAAGAAGACTGAGCAATTAAGATGTGTTTAATGCAGGTCTCTTACCAAGAACCTGTTGCTTTGTCCCTTGGGTCCTTTCCCTGGTAGATAGAGAGGAGTCTTCCCATCTACATTTCTGAAGCTGGTGAATTGAGAAGCATGAACCCCAGGCTTGTGCTGTTTCCCTCTGATATCAGTGAGAGGTTTAAGAAGCAGAAGACCGGTTCCTGGGTGTCCCGCTGAGAAGCTGAAAGACTAGTCCCTACTCCAGGAGGCTAGATGACTTCAGCATAACGTTCAGAGCAGAACTGGGTCCTTTGTCAGGAGCAGGTGCATGCATGCCTGCGTGTGTGAGTGTACACAGGTGCTCATCACTTCTCTGTGCTCTTTCTGAAGTCACTTCTTATTACTACTTCCTAAAGACAGGGATATCACAATCACCACTGGCCAGCAACTCCCACACCTTTAACGCTGAGCCTTGGGAAAAGGAAGAGTAGAGACAGCTGCCTGCTCGATGATGTCCTGCCTGTAATCCCTAGGACAGTTCCATACCCTCCTCAAAAGCATCAAACCTTGGGCCTAGGAAACATCTACAACCTCAGTTACATTTGCCTGAGTTCCACTGAAGACACTGCGTTTCTTCACTAGAGAACTTTGCATTTTATATTTAATTGAATCAATATCACTTAATATAGGACATCTCCCAGGATCAAACATTTATTGATTATACTTTTCTCATTGTCCTTTCATCCCCAGCTGACAGAGGAGGTCCATGAGGAGGGACAACCAGAGCAGTGTGTCGGAGTTCCTCCTCCTGGGGCTGCCCATCCGGCCAGAGCACCAGGGTGTGTTCTTCACCCTGTTCCTGGGCATGTACCTGACCACGGTGCTGGGCAACCTGCTCATCATCCTGCTCATCAGGCTGGACTCCCGCCTGCACACGCCCATGTACTTCTTCCTCAGCCACTTGGCCCTCACTGACATCTCTTTCTCATCTGTCACTGTCCCTAAGATGTTAATGAGCATGCAAACTCAGGATCAATCCATTCCCTATGCAGAGTGCATAGCACAGATGTATTTTTTCATATTTTTTACAGACCTGGACAGCTTTCTTCTCACTTCAATGGCATATGACAGGTATGTGGCCATCTGTCACCCCCTCCACTACATGACCATCATGAGAGAAGCACTCTGTACCTCACTAGTGGCTGTGTCCTGGATCCTGTCCTGTGCCAGTGCCCTGTCCCACACCCTTCTCCTGGCCCAGCTGTCCTTCTGTGCTGACAACACCATTCCCCATTTCTTCTGTGACCTTGGTGCCCTTCTCAAGCTGTCCTGCTCAGACACGTCCCTCAATGAGCTGGTCATTTTCACAGTAGGAGTGGCTGTCATTACTCTCCCACTAATATGCATCTTGATCTCTTATGTCCACATTGGGGCCACCATCCTGAAGGTTCCATCTACCAAGAGCATTTGCAAAGCCTTGTCCACATGTGGCTCCCACCTCTCAGTGGTATCTCTTTATTATGGAACAATTATTTGGCTCTATTTTTTCCCTTCATCCAGCACCTCCAGTAAAAAAAACATAATTGGCTCTGTGATGTACACAGTGGTCACTCCACTGCTAAACCCTTTCATTTATAGCCTAAGAAACAGGGACATGAAGGGGGCCCTGGAGAAACTCCTCAACAGGCAACCATTTTGTCTCAACAACATTTGCTCATCTCTATAACAGACACATTTATTCCCAGATGCCAGACCCCCAAACTTGAGCCCCACAGTCTTGAGCCCTGCATGGAATAAGTGCTTGGTAAGTTATTGATAAGTCAAATTACATTCTGGTACAGGTATTCTCTCTTTTCCTTGCAATTCTTTAGTATAAATCATGAGCTCTAACTTGATATTATTGATCATGACTCTTGTCCATTACAGTGAGAAACTGATAGCTAGTACAATTGACGTCTTTTCTCTCTTATTTCCTGGGAATTTATTAGTTATTTTAAAAACAGGTTTATTGAAGTAAAATTGATATATAAACATTGTATAATATATAGTGTACAACCTGATGCTTTGATATGTACACATTGTGAAATAATCACAATTAAGCAAATGAATGTATCTATCACCTCCACATAGATATCCTTTCATTTTACTGCTCTGTGGGTGATGAGAAGACTTAATTTAAGATACACCCTCCTAGCAAATAAAAGTGAAAAACACTGCATTGTTAACTGTAGCTGCCATGCTGTACATCGGCTCTCAGGAACTACTCATCCTGCATGCCTAAAATGCTGTCCATTATTCTAAGTGAAATAAGTCAGACTCAAAAGAGATAAATACTGCATGATCTCATTTATATGTGGAATCAAAAACAGTCAAATTCATAGAAGCAGAGAATAGAAGGGTGGTTTCCAGAGGGTGGGGGTGGGAAGTTGATTGATGTTGGGAATTTATTAGTTTTTGTGAGTTGTTGGAAGATATTGGCTAATAGGGCTCCCTTGGCACCTGACAGGTTGCAGAATTGGGAATTTGTAAATTATCTCCTTTCCTTTCCTCACTTCCCATTCAGTGCTCTTTCTGTATTTTTTGTTGGTATTGGAGACGATGGTGGGGCAGGAAAAGAAACTGCATAGTGTCCCTTGTAGCTCCAGGAAAATACCCACAGTTATGAGTTCAGCTGCTCCATGTATCAATCTCTTCAGTATCTGTCTCTCTGGAAAATCACTTCCGCTCAGCTGAATGACCCCTGGTTTGTATTATGCACCCAAGTAATCTAACTTCACTGCCATCTAGTGAGGGACCACACAGTTCTCTTCAGGCTGTACTTAATTAAGAATAAACAGGATCACAAGTACTCGTGAGATCCAGCACCATGTAGCTATAAGGGAGAAGCCAGATCCCAACTGTGAACTGTACCTATCAGAGTGTGTGTGGCCTCAGGCAATTTACTTAACTCCCCTGACTATCAATTTCTTCTTCTGGGTAAATTGAGAAACTACTAAGACATCTAATATATTTTTTATTTGAAATAAATGAAATGCCAAATTTGGCTTAGCATTACAAATGACCTACAGCAATGAATATTAGCTTTCCCTACCTACGCATGAGGTGAATTTTGGAGAACTTGCATAGATAATGCCTGAGTTATGGTAAGCATGGCCATGGCATGGGGAGCAAGTCATGTAAATTACCACCACAATTCAAAGTCCATCAGCTGTCCTAGGACACAGCAACGCATCTTCTCTGGCTTGAACTAGAACCAATGACTTTAGGAATGATGGATGAGTGAGTTGTTAGGTGGGTAGATGAGGAAAGACAGATCAGAAGAGAATCTTATTCTCTACTCTCAATATTCACTCAGCATTGCCCTGGACCTGGAGCTGATGGTCTGCCTTTCAGCATCCCAGCTTTTTTTAATGTGGAAAAACAAAGAGTGCCCACTGCCCCCACCCTACTCTACTAAGCTGCAGGCATGAAGCTTAAGAGACAAAGTCTCTTTGTCTACAGGTTCAGTCTCAACCACTTCCAGAGCCAAAACAAAACTTGAACGAGGCTGGAGACTGTCTTGCTAGTCTAGAGGAAGCAGGCTTTGGATGGCCTGGACACACCCATGAATACTTGGCTGGGTTTCTCTGCTAGCACTCCAGTTCTGTTGTTTGGATCTCTGATCTTCTGTCGGGCCCTGTCAGACCCATCCTTCAAAGGGGTACCACTGTCATTCATATTTTTAGCCATGGACTGGTGGCATTGCTCTGAGTGGAGTTTTCTCAAGAAATGCCAAGCCCACTCACCTGTTGGGAAGTGTTTTATCACCACCTGTCATGCTAGATCGGCCTTCCCTGGTTGTAGACAGCAGCCCAATGCAAACTGGCAGTTGCAATACTGATTCAATACATATGTAGATCTTCTGGAAATGGCTTTGGAAGTACGCAGTTTATCTGGGGCATCTCCCCTCAGCCATGCCAAAGCTAGCTCATGACCTTCTCTGGTGAACACACTTCACTGGGTTTAGAACAAGGTGTGCTACAGTTTTCAAAATTGTGTGTGATGTGGTCACAAGTTTTCAAATACTTGTGGAAGTTAGTAAGCACTGACACTTCAACTGACCAGTTTGTGTCCTTCACAAAAATTAAAGGTAACATTAACCTTTCAAAGTGTAACAACCATAGACAGACTTTTCTCAGGGGAGAAGAACCACAGTATCACAGAACTAGGCACTCCAGCATTCACATTGGAGCTTTGGATGATATATTACTATACACATAAAATTTTAACTCAGACATATAAATTTTAAAAGTAAAAATGGTTCTATTTTGTCACATATGTAAAGTGGAGACTTACTAAATTAGAATCATTTGGCTTTCAAGGGAAATATAGAAAACCCTAAGTGTTGCACTTACTATTATCTTTGAAGATTCTTTTTTGGGGAGGGGGGAGCAGCTGTAAATGAAATCAGGAGGAACCTCAAGTATACATAAAACTTAATGTACTTGTCATTAAGGATAAAGTGTTGGAGTGAATACCAGAAAAATAATGAGATTTTCCATTTCTTATTGATTCTGTAATTCAATAGCCATTTAGGAAGTTAACTACTCTATGTCAGTAGGCCTAGCCTTGGTCACAGAGCTGGATAAAGACATGACCTCCATGCTAACAAAGGGAACATCCTAGAGACAGGTGAACTCAAAAATATGTATGAGTATTAAAAAGTGCTTTCATATAATACTACTAATAATAACTGCTTATTATGCATATTTACTACGGGTCAAGCACTATATTAAAAGCTTTATCTGTATCATCACTTTTAATCCTCATAATAATCCTATGAAGCATATACTATTGTTATCTGCATGTCTCAGTTGAGGAAACTGAGGCTTAGAGACAATGACATACTTACAATCAATGGTAATAGCGCAAAGGAAGATATGGTCAATGCTGGCTGTATATCAGCAAAAGCTTTACAGGGGAAGTAGTTCTTCAGGTAAGTGTTAAAGGATGCTCAGGATTATAACAGAAAGTGGCAGAAATGGCAGTCTAGGCAGAGAGAACAGAGGGAACTGGGGCACTGAAATACCACGGAAATATATGTGTGAAGTGATTCAAGTCACTTCATGTGACATGTACTTGAACATGTACAAAGGTCCCGTGGACAAAGACAACAGGGTGGGGATTCAATGTGTGTGTGTGGGGGGGGGGGAACAGGGGAGAGTAATGGGGGAAAGGGGTACAAGTGTACTTGAGCAATAAAAAAATTAAACAATAAAAATAAAAATAAAAATAAAAATTATATGTGTGTATGAGTCGGTGGAGCATCAAGAGATGAGCCTAGGCAGGCAGACAAGGACTATGTTATGTAGGGGCTACAGTACCCTGTTGGGGAGCTTAGATGCTGCCTTGCACGGAATGGAGCGCTGTTGCCTGGGGATGGGATGAGGTAGAGATTAAACATGGGGTAGGCTATGTCTGTGTTACCAATGTATACGATGGTTTGGCAATGGATTGGAGAGCCTAGGGCCAGGGAGCTCAATCAATATATCCAGGTAACAGGTGATGTACGTTTGAACAGAGACAGCTGCACAGGGGATAGGTAAGAGAATATCTCTAAAAATAGACTAGACCTGATCTTGGTAATCAATGGGAACTAGGTGGTAGAATAAAGAATTGTTCTTGATCTCTGGCTCTGAACTGATATTTAAGAACACAGTGGAAGGCTAGGTAGGCACTTTCAGTAATTTTGATTAGGTTTAACAGTCTTAATGAAGCAAGGAAACAAGTTTGTGACCACCTGCTTTTGAATAAAGGGTTCCAAGCAGGAGGAAGGCAAATACCCTAACTAGGCAAGAGGCACCAGGAAGCTCTTCATCCCCACCACCATCCACACTGATCCTCATGAAAAGCACATCTCACTCCCATCACACCACCAAAATGCAAAGATTTATAAATAATTTGTACTTCAGTGTGAATCATTTTAATGTCAACACTACATTAAACTTGTTTGAAATCAGTGACCTTAAAGGAATAGAGGTGTGAACTTTGGGATTGGGAGTGAGTGTAGCTGGGTGTACCACGGGAGGAATACATTTGGAACTTGGAACACAGTGGTAATTATTTTGGCTGGGTAGGAGCTAAGGATGTTATACTACTGAACAGTGATAGTCAACAGTGCCCCTTGGTGGACCTTTGCAATATGGGGGTCACCGAAGTAGACACCGAGCCTCATCTCCTAGTTTGCTTGGGGCCTGTGGCAAAGAATTTAAATCTAGACCTAAACAGGATTTAAACATGTACTGCACTGTCAATAGATTAAGACTCCCTGAGGGTCCACCAGGCTGACTGAGCAGTTTGAGCAGCAGGTTCAGGATGTCAGAGGGGACATGGACAGCAGGGACAGTGTGAGTCTGTGTCCAGCAATCTCACACCTCAGCCTCCCACATGTTTGCAAACTGTCATCAGAGGCCGTAGAACTCTGCTGAGAAACCTGCTCCTGAAAGAGCTAATCACGAGAAGTGGAGGGCATTTTCTTGCCAGCTCAAAGGACAGAAGCCAGCTGGAGGCCATTGGCTCAGAGGAGACTCCCAGTGGCCCGCAGCATGTAGAACAGTAGACAGCAGTCAAATGAAAGGAGAGCTGTAGACTGAGGAGACAAGAGCAGTAGGACCCCAAGGTTGCTGCAGCTCTGGTTACGTGAGAAAGCTCTCCTCACCCATTCAAGGACTCCGAGAGAGAATATCTGGAATGGAGATCTAGGGAGAAGAACAGAAGTCCTGTTCCAGGTCACCTAACATACGGAATCCCCAAGCACTAAGATGTGGCACACTGCACTCAGCGAGTCACATTCGTGCTTGCCAACTCCTGACACCTGGGGCAGTTTGATTCCATAAAAGATGTTCCATAATCATTTGTTGAAAGAATACAGAAATTGTGAAACATTTTAAGATACGCTGGGTCTTAGAAACAAACTGCGATAAGGAGAGAGGTGTAGGTAGCCCAGGGACACCTGGTCATACCAGAGAGATGCAAAAAAATTGAAATTATATGGCCCTTAATTTTAAAAAAATAATATTTGAAATATGTATAAGATTCTTGGAGGCAGAACAACACTTATGTGAGTATAAACGTACTTTTGTCTGTCCCTGCAATGAATTTAAGCTGCTGATGCCCCTTTTAGAGCAGAAGGCAAATAAGAAAAGAGGGTCGCAGCGTTCCTACTGACCAGCCACAAAAACAACACAGGCTTCATGGAGCACTTCCGACCAGCTGGAGAAGAGGCAGTGCAGGAGCTCTCAATGCCTCCTGGGGAAGTCCTGGCAAACCACAGGAAGTGGGGCGGCTGGCACGGAAATCTAAACACTGAATTTTAACCTTCTGGTGGGGAACTCATCACCTATTCTGCCTCTCCTGGAACGGAAACTCTATCCTTCTTCTTCCTTTTTTTTGGGGGGGTGGGGGTGGGGTGGGAGGGTCTTGACCTCCATTTAAGTGCTATAAGCAAGATTTATGCTCTGCCCAATTTTCTGTAATTGACAAACTAATAATCTAGAATGAATGTGTCATGGAAGTAGGAACTGTGTCTTGTTCTGTGCTATATCCCTAGCATTTATAACAGCTCCCAGCACAAAGTAGGTGTCTGGTATATATTTGCTAAAGGACTGAATCTCAGAGAAAAGATTTCTGACTTTTTGAGTAGTGGAAGGATGAAGAGAGACAACAGTGATAATAACAGCTATCATTTATTGAAAACTTACTATTTATTTACTAGCCACTATACCAGATGCATTTCATAGTTTATCTCAGCTAATCCTCCAAGTCACCTTATTAGGGATTATTATCTCCATTTAGATAAGAAGACTAGCTCAGAGAGGTTAGCAACCTTATGACTAGTGTGTGGTAGACCCAAAACTGAAGCCAGGGTTGTCTGGCTCCAAGCCTATGTCTTTTCATTAAAGGTTGCTACCACTATATCTAAGAAGAAAAAACTCTCCCATGACTGAGGAGCCTCCTAAGGGCCTCCTTCATGTCCTTGTTCCTTAGGCTGTAGATAAAGGGGTTCAACATGGGGACCACCACAGTGTACACTGCTGCTGCTGCAATGTCCTTTTCTTCAGAGGCAACAGAAGGAGGGCACAGGTAGGCACCAAAGAGGGTCCCATAGAACACACAGACAACGCAGAGATGAGAACTGCAGGTGGAAAAGGCCTTGCCCGCCCCACCAGGAGTTCGCATCCTCAGGATGGCCGATACAATGTGGATGTAGGAGACGACAATGCAAATAAAGGGGACGATGAGTACTGTGCCTCCTAAGGCAAAAAGCATCAACTCGTTGACGTGGGTGTCAGAACATGACAGCTTCAGGACAGGAGTTATGTCACAGAAAAAGTGAGCTATTTCCCCCACAATGCAGAAGGACAGCCGAGCCATGAGGAGGGTGTGAGTCAGGGCAACAGTGTGCGTGAGGACCCAGCACAAGGCAAGCAGCAGGGCACAGACTCTGGGGCTCATGACTGCAGAGTAGTGGAGAGGGTGGCAGATGGCCACATAGCGGTCGTACGCCATTACGGCCAGGAAAAAGCTATCCAGGTCACCAAACATCAGAAAGAAATACATTTGTGTGAGGCAACCAGCATAGGAGATGGTATGACACTGAGTCTGAACATTCACCAGCATCTTGGTAACTGTGGAGGATGTTAAACCCACATCAACAAAAGACAGATTAGCCAAAAAGAAGTACATGGGGGTGTGGAGGTGCGGGTCAGAGCTGATGGCCAGGATGATGAGCAGGTTCTCCGTCAAGGTGATAAGATACATACACAGGAAGATACCAAAGAGTAACTGCTGTTGCTCTGGTGACCCAGATATTCCTCGGAGGAAAAATTCAGAGAGGCACGATTGGTTTTCCATGACTCTGGAGCATCGGAAGTTAGAAAGGACAGTTAGAGTGCTACATTTCTTCTAGAATTCTGCATGTTGCTGACTTCCAAATCTTCTAACTCCTAAATCTCCCTTTAAATTCATTGGTATCCCCAATCCTGACTTTACCTCCAATCTGACTCTAGATTCTTCTTTTTCTCTCTTCCTTGGGACTCTCACTGTTTTTTTCCCCCCCTTTCCTCATCCTTCCCTCTGATCAATCTTTTATACAGAGGAAACTCTGCTAAGGAGGCACTAGGCATGTTCAATGCTGGGGATTACCACGTCTTGAACTAGGTCCACAGCCCCATATCAATTTCATCATTGCAGTGACATGGACACATGAGTACACTGAGGTGAGCTAGATCTTACACGCTCCTGGTAGCCCCTATAGCCATACAAAATTCTTTTTAAAACACTTATAATATCTCATTTTAGAGTGAAAGGCATATGAAGGACGCATGTCCCTTTATCCCTTCATCATTTCTCCTGAACTAGAGAAGATGGAGTTCTGCATTTTCTTCACTGTTTGCATTATTGTCCCTGCCATCACCATCACCTTGTAGCTAACATCTACCAGCCACTTTTTACATGTCAGGTGCTCTACTAAGCACTTCATACAGACTGCCTCCTGGAACCCTGAAACAATGCTGGGCAGCAGAGACTACTGTTATTGTCTTTGTACAGAGGAGAAAACTGAGGATAAAGATGCTTGAGTAATTTGCACATGGACCCACAGCTTGTAAATATTTCAGACAGAATTCAAACTCAGCCTTGACACCATAAATTGTATCATCAATCAGTACAGATAGAAAGTGATTTTTTATCACCAGAGTTGTATTAATCCCTCAGTATTCCTAGTTTAATATCTTTAGCTTCACTTACCCTTCCTATCTTGTATATTTGTCTTCTACAGAAAAACAATAAAGTTTAAGAACTAGTACAGCCCATAGGATCTGGTCCAAATGTCCCCATATATTGGTCTGTGGACCAGTTTAATCAACCAAGTGAGATGCTTATTAACAAAACAGAATCCTCAGACTTACTGAGTTAAATTCTCTAGGATACAGTCTGGGTATATGTATTTAAAACTGAAAATGAAAACTAAACCCTCCTCAGGTATTGTAATGCTCAATAAAGCTTAAGAAAAATTCACTTAGTTCAACTCTTCATTTGATTCACAGATGAATAAGCTAAGCTTCAGAAAAGTGATTATAAAAACAAAACTTAAGGTTCAAAAGAGTAAAGTTTACACTGTGCCTTGGAGAAAGACATGACACAAGGATCAGGGTATCCAGACTCTCAGACCAGTGCCCTTTCTGTTAAGTCAGCTGTTGTTTCATTTTTCTTTTTTTTTTTGTCTTTTAATTTTTTATTATTTTTTGTAATTAATATCTTATAGATCAAATATGTTCTTATTCCCAATTTCTATTCAAAGTCCACACCTAAAGAAAAACTTACCTCCAAAGTGATGAAAGATTTACTAAGGCAGCCATGGCTGGTGTAGCTCAGTGGACTGAGTGCCAGCCTAAGAACCAAAGGGTCTCTGGTTTGACTCCCAGTCAGGGCATGCGCCTGGGTTGCAGGCCAGGTCCCCAGTGTGGGGTTCATAAGAGGCAGCCACACATTCATGTTTCTCCTTCTCTTTTTCCCTCCTTTCCCCTCTCTCTAAAAATAAAGTAAATCTTTTTTTTAAGACTTTATTTATTTATTTTTAGACAGAGGAGAAGGGAGGGAGAGAGAAAGAGAAACATCAATGTGTGGTTGCTTCTCACACATCTCCTACCAGGGACCTGGCCTGAAACCCAGGTATGTGCCCTGGCTGGGAATAGAACCAGTGACCCTTCGGTTCACAGGCCTATGCTCAATCTACTGAGCCACAACAGCCAGGGCCTAAAGTAAATCTTTTTTAAAAAGATTTACTGATGCATTGTTCATATTTTGCAGTACATACTTCAAACTTTAGCAAGAACAACATCTGAGAACTAAAAACAATGCATATTTATCTACCTCTGAACCCCACACTAATTGAGGAACATATCTCAGAGCTTTATAACTCATCTGAGAGATCAGAAAGTCACAAACTAAGTTATTTTCTCCCCTACTCCATCTCTCGATGGGGAATGTGATGCCTCATGAAGATCAGACTCCTCTGACTGGACACTTTCTAATAACCATGTCCTGGAAGGCAAGAGACTCTCTTTTAAGACACAAGTAATTGTGTATCTTGTCAAAAGGGGCATGACATAGACTGCCAAACAATGCCATGTGCTCCTGACATCCAGATCCTGCCTGCAGCAAGTCCATTCAATGCCACTGCGGTTCTCAAAGAGACTGCAAGTTATTTCACGGCAGAGGTGAGTCTCTTCTGTTACCTCTGTCAGCATATAACAACTTGATCAGACTATTCCTAGAGAAGTCCCTCGTCTATTGCACCAACCAGTCAACATCAGAAAATCCTTCAAATCCTCTAAAAAGGGTCCAAAACTCTCCATTGCAAGTCCAGCATTTTACCTTTTGTTCTTTATACTCAGGGGTCTTGTGCTAATATTCCTTGCCCCACCCTTTGGTTCTTCCTTTCCCAAAAAGGTTTCCCATCCTTCATCCTGCCTATAGCCTCAAAAAACTCTGTAGATCCCAGAGAAAACATTGAGGTGCTTCCAGAACCTTGGGGCAACCTCTGATCTGTCATCCCAGGGTAATGAGGTCCCTTAACTTACCTCCGCTGCTTCTTCAATTACTATGTCTGCTCACAGGTTAAGAACTCTCTTGGAGATGATGGGGAGATTATTGCAACGGCAGGACTTGCTGGCCTACAACTGTCTGTCTCGAGTTTCTCTTTTCACTGCTACTCTGGTACTGAGAAGGCACTGCAGACGTCCTTAATTTGGAGGAAGGAGAGAAGAGCTGAGATTCCTCCTGACAATCTTTGTGTTGGGACTAACTAAAATCACAGTTCAGGGTCAAGAATAATAAATACAGATGGTGAGTAGCCAGAAGCAAAAAAGTTAGGTTGCTAAACTAGGATTAAAAATAAGATTGGGCAAACAGGGGGAAAGAAAGAGACTAGGATTCCAGATGAGGAGCCCAAGAGATCAACAAAGGATTGTAAAGCCAAGCTGGAACAGAGAAGACATCAGCTGGAGACCAGAAGAAGAGGCACTGTCTTGAGTAGTTAAGATGATCTAGGACCCATGGTACTCTGGCCCTAGTCAACCCAGGTCTTCAGGAATTTTGAAGTATTTTATTTTGCATTTTGAAACCCAAACTGAGGACTCAGAAACAGGGAGCTGCTAGTTCTCAGGCTAATACTAGGAGGAGGGTGAACATGCTCTACTTTGGGTATTTAGAGACAGGGAATTATGGGACACAGTTCCCTAGAGCCTTGTTAGAGCTAACACTCACAACTGCCCAAATTCCCCTCTGTACTTCTCATAACAGACCAAATTAGTACAGTGCTGGCTTTATCTGAAATTTCTGAAAGCTTTACTTCTTTCTCTATGTTAAATGGTAAACATAGCTCATGACAAAAAAATAAAAAAGGACTCTGTGTAAATCAATCTCCTAGCTGCCCTCTTGCAACAAGACTTCTGTCCTTAAGCTCTTCCCTTATGAAATTCAAAAGTGCCAATATTCACATTAGTTTAGTTTAGTGGCATATGACATCTGTTTCTTAAATAGTTCTCATGCTTCTGGTTAAAGATATTACATTAAAGTCAAGCACTTAATTTCACTCTCTCCTAAAATTCTAATGAGAGTAAAATGACTTTTAAAAAGACATAAAATCCACAAGGACAGAGAAGAGTGGAAAGCAAATAATAACAACAGAATTTCAGATGTTGAAAACCATTGGATGAGGGAGTGGTAATCAAGACAATCTTTACATAGTCTTCAACTCAACTAAACTTCAGACAGTTTCTTCCTAACTATGGACCCTGCGCCTCCATTTTCTTACAGAGCTTTACTCTTGAAAACTTGTTAAAATTTTTCCCTGCTCATCTGAAATGTAAATCTTCTCTCAGGCTCTGGCCAGTTTTACAATCTAGGAATCTCTTCCTCAATGACCTGGGAACCATCCCTTTGAAATGTAATTATTAAGAAAGCACACCTATCTTCCAGTCTCTGTGGGAGGATGGGGACCTAACTTTGATGGACAGACAACAGACAGGCAATTAGCAAGCACAGATGGTGTAATCATTTGCTCAAGCCTCCTGGAACACCCTCCAGTATGTTGAAACTGGCTCAACCCAGCACTTCTGAGCTACCTTTTATTTCAAGGGAGTTGAGTTCCATCTCTCTCCCCAACTGCAATAGTCTTTAATAAAAGCTTCCCTGTCTAGCCCTATGTAGTACAATTTTTCTTTGACAGTGATAACAGAGTTAAGACATGGAAAAGGTTTTTTATCCATTTATTTACTGATGGGTACTTAGGTTGCTTCCAGCACTTGGCTATTGTAAATTGTGCTATGCACATTGGGGTGCAGAGGCTCTTTTGGATTGGTGTTTCAAGGTTCTTAGGATATAATCCTAGTAGTGGAATTGCTGGGTCAAAAAAGGCAGTTCCATTTTTAGTTTTGAGGAAATTATTCCATAATTTCCGTAGTGGTTGCACCAGTCTGCAACCCCACTAACAGGGTTGGTACATTTACACAATGGAATTCTATGCAGCAGAAAGAGAAAAGGAGCTCTGACCCTTTGCAACAGCATGGATGGAACTGGAGAGCATTATGCTAAGTGAAATAAGCCAGGTGGTGAAAGACAAATACCATATAATCTAAGCATTAACAGGAACCTCATCAACAAAATGAAAAAACAAACAAAGCATAGCCAAATACATTGAAATTGAGAACAGACTGGCAATGGCCAGAGGGGAGGGGGTATAGATAATGGGGGGAAAGGGTAAAGGGTTTACAGGAACTATTATAAAGGAAATATGGACAATAACAAGTGGAGGATGGAAACGGGAGGAAGATGGGGAGGGTTGGGGTAGG